TCTGAGTGGAAACTACCTGCTGTCCTCTGACTAACAACACTCAACTCTATAGTTTACTACAGTTTCTTTTGTTTTAATGAGTATTCTGTATGCAGATTGCAAAGGAATAGTGCAAAGTCAAAATGTACTAATAAGGGGAGGAGAAAGCAAAAAGTTGTTCCAAATCACAATAATATGGTTTGCTTTGTTAGTAACTTTAACCTGTTCAAGTTTGAATTAATGCACTGGGTGAAGTTATTTGGATAAAGTAGGTTTGACTGTGTTTTTCCAGCTTCAAAATCACAGAAATTGCGGCACTTACTTTAAATGGTCCATTTCTTACCACATAGCATTATTTTTGCATTAGCTTTTTGTATGTGGCCCGCTTTAAAGAAACATAAATTCAACTTCTTTTCCCCTTTACCTCTTCGCTTTCATCACACAACATAATGATCAAGTGTAAAAATGTTATTTATGTACTTGTCAAATGCACTGTGTGTCTGTTTTTCCGCATCTATATCCACCTCTCTACCTCTCTCCACCTCACCTCAGCCAGTGTTCTGGCGAACACGTAATTGTCTAAGTGCTTCTGGATGGCAGCAGGCTATTTGGTCATTAAGGGGCCTATTAAGTTATTAGTGCAACAGTGGGACTGCCGTCTGCCTGCCGACAGGACCAGATGATCGCCCTGATATGTGTAGCCTCATAGTTTTCCACATATTTGCGCAGGTAATTATAGCTTAGACACCCTCAGATGTCATGCTTTAAAGAGAAGATACACAGGGCAAGCACGCTTTAAAGCCAATCTCCTCCTCCTCTTCTTCTTCCACATTTTTTTTTCCTCTCTGTGTATATGTGTCTGGGTGTTTACTGTATGTGCACATATGTGTGTGTAAATAAGCAATGGGTGAGCAATGAGACGTGCGAGGCCTCGAGACATGTCGGAGAAAAAGATAGGGAGCAGGGAGAACTAAAATTAAAGCAAAAAAGGAATGAGGAGGTCAGAGGATGGAAGAGAAGAGTGCAGACAGCAAATTCGCTTTTTCCATCAGCCAGAGTCTGTGGCCAAGACATCCCTTGTAACTAAAACTCACACACCCATCACGAAATGTAAATATTTGGATTTAAGTAAGGTTGGAAGTCGATTCCTGGGTTCAAAGATGTGCTGTTTAGGTGAACAAGCTCCAAGAAACACAAAGTATGAAGCCGGATTTGATAGGATGATGCATGGAAATCTTATTTTGATTTTATTTCCATTGTTTTTCGTAGCAACTTCTGCCTTGTTTATGGAGATGTTAAGGCCTACGATATTACACTTGATACTCATTAGAAATGTTCATTTAAAACTGTTGGATCTACAATTTACTTTTATAGAATATTTATATTTAAAATCATTCATTTTGGATTTTCAACCAAATCATATAAATATATTTGCAGTCTTATCTAGAGAATTAAGCACAAATCAAACTGCTGTGTGGGATTCCAGTAAGCGTGGGTCTAAACATAGGCAGAGTCGATGGTGCAGACGACAGTTTCACTTTATAACCACTAAGTGTAAACCCAGTGGTTGGTAACCCAGCTCCATATGCTTTTCATTATATGGTTTCATACAGACAGCATTGTGAAAACCCAAATGTCATCACATTTCATATTATTATGTCATGCAGACGCACATTTTTGTGATATTTTAGCTTCATGACCAGAGCTGAAGGGTACAGTACCCCTCTGTGACCACAGGGGCTACCGTGGCAGTGTGATCGAAAGCTCAACTGAAGGCAAGTCTTTAATAACAAAAAAGATACCATACATTATATATTAGATGAGTCTTTATTTATATAATCCTTCCACCCAGCAGCTACTGTATAATGATAGAGCCTCACTCTGAAACTACACTGACAGGATACCATTGGTTTGTGGCTGCATTTGGGGTTTTTCTATGAGGTCTGCAAATAATGTCTTAACAAATAAGAAGACAAAAGACCTAACAGTCTGTTGATGCTCTTGATATAAATGCAGCTATGATTTAAAAAATAAAACAAACAAGAAAATTGATAAACCAACATTTTGCTTTTAAGATACTATGAGAAAATATCATAGTCACAGAAGCCACGTTCTATCGCCAAGTATTTAAATGCTTTAGTCTACATTAAATTCTAAGTTGTCCTGCACCACACTGCATTAAATATTCACAATTTATGTCAGAATAACCTGGTCAGAGCTGGAGTCTACCTTCCTGTCAGACCGAGGGTCTTCTCAGCAGCCAGGATGCTCAGTCTGACCCCAGCAGACTCCCAGTCTCCTTTGTGCTCTGCTGCTTTCTTACCACCTCCAGCCCTGACCCCTGACCCCTGTCCAGGAGTCAGGCGCCATTGATATGATATAATTTCTCCCTGACATGGGCCAGTGGGCTTAGCTGCAATGTGACCCAGGAAAAGTAAATAAATATATATATATATTCTTGCGTGAGAACAAGAGGGACGCACAAATGGGTCAATCTCTGCACTCACAAAACCATCAGATTTGTTTCTGATCTAAATGCTAAACTAGTATACAGTAAATTTAAGCAACAATATTTTTGTATCACAATGTACTCAGTGGTATGGTAGGCGTCAGGGGTATTACAACACTGAGATAGCTGAACTCTGCAGTTTCCATTCCAGCAGATTTTAGCAAAAGTATTGTGGTTGTTCTGAATCATTATTCAAATCGAAACCAAACACATTTACGTGATAAGCCATGATGGTATGTTATCCATCAAGCCTTGCGGGAAGAGAAAGTATAATCGCTGATATGGATTTCTGGGTGGTTGGTGGTAGTGTTTACACCCACTCGGGTTTCTCCTACTTTATAAATTCACAAAGATTTCAGTACTGCCCTCCTCGGACAGCTGTCACCCTACATCAAGTTTCACAGATCTGGAGGAGAACCATGCGTCCTGTCCTTTGTTTCCCCTGAAGTTCCTCTCACAGAGACGTCCACACCTCTCTGTCATCTGAAGAGTCTCCACAGGAGTCTCAGACAGACAGATCTCCTGATTATAAGTCTAAAGGTGACTCTAGCACTCTTAACGTCTCTTCATATCTGCCACACTATCACCAGCATCAACCACTCCAAACAGATTGCTGCACTCAAACCTCCTATCTCACAAAGTTGGTGTGTTTGTTGTGCTATGTTTAGTCTGAAAACAAAATCCTTGAGGTCAGCGAACCTCTTATATCAACTAAACTATAAAGATGGACAAACCAGCGTCTCCATCGAGCACCAGGGCCCCTGCCACGGAGTTTAGGTTTCCAAGAGCAGAGCAGGAGTCACGGGATACTGCAAGCATCTACTTTTTTATTAACAACAAATAACATGAGCTGGGTTGGATCATTCCCCAACACACCTTTTAAGAATTGCTCATGTTTCAGGTAAGTGTTTCAAGAGCAGATGATGTTCACCCTTCACTGAGGCTTTTCAACTCCAAACTGTCTTAAAACTCTCTGCTTCCCTCTAGTCAAACTTTTTCCTTTTCCCATTTTCTCTCTTGGGTCTAAGTTTCCTTTCCTTACACTCCTACCCTCACTTTTTCTCTTTGCCTGTCTGTGATCCATCCTTCTTTGACCTCACTGCTGTTCCAGTCAAGCGTACAGGGACCTGATCAACCATAGTGTGCAGTTTATATCACAAATTATTATAATTGGAAATAATGGTTTCCATGTCAGTTTCAGTTCAGCTCTGAATTGTTCTCATACATGTCTGAAAATGAGTGGGTTGGAAGCGGGGGTGCAGTGATGCTTACACTGCTGAGGGATGAACAGGAGGTTCTTTATGACACAATTTTAAATGAATTTCCAGGACTGTGTAGATCTCGTCTGGTATCCCTGCTGTCAGTAGGTAAATGGCAAAACCTGCGGAGTCAGGCGCTTCAGCTGGTCACTAGGACTAGAGGGTGATCGAAACATTTACCATTATTTATCTAAATGTGAACAGTCACTGCCTACAACCACAGGTGAAACAAAACAAAGGTCATGGACCAGGAAATCAAAAAAGGAATCAAGTACAAGCAAAACTGGAAACATCTCTGACACATGTACCTTATGTCATATCCCTCAGTGAGAAGCCCAGTTTACCTTACAGTGAACTTATTTCAGGGGCAGTAAAGCACTCAGGCATGGACAGCGCGTGCATTGCAACTTTGACAGCGTAGTTAGGAGGTGATGATGAAAGAAGAGAGGCTCGGAGCCAGCCGTCTCTCAAATTAGCCCCCAACACCTCCGACCTGTCACATGGAAGCCTCGGCCTTTGCAAATTCTGTTGCCCCGCACCATCAACGCACACGTATGGAGTTCTGCACTGCTTACAGTGCAGTGCCGTCGTGTGTGGCGTGCTGTGCGTGCAGAGCACATGTGCTCAGTTAGGAACACACGCACATTGTGAAATGTTTTCCTCCCTAATGTTAATTAAGAGTTCTATTCAAACAAACAGTCTTTATCGCAGTTTCTTCTCTGATCTTCATGGTTTTAAAAACTTATCATATAACCCACTGTCTGAGACCTGAAACTGACTCCTTATCAGACTGATGCATCAGTGAAAAAGCAATAAAACATAGCTTCACTCCCAGTGTTTCCCTCATCAGCCAATGTGGTGATTTCATTCCTTCAACATTCTCTGATTACAGGAAGAGCTGTGTGTAACTTTTTCTTATCTGTTCAGGGTGAAAGCTGCTCAGCCTGAAAATATCTGCGGACTCAGTTGTTAAGTATGTCGAGGGAGGTGGTGGGACGTCTTTAACGGTAAAGCTGCCTCCATTAGAAAGTTCTACTGTAATAACCTTTAACTCCTCCAACAGTTCTATTAGAGAAGGTGTAACGACACCCCCAGATTTCCCAGTGACCTTATTCGTTTTTGAAGCTACCTTATTACACAATCCTAGGATTTTCTTATGCCCCCGTTGAGCCTTGCCCACCTGTGTTACTGTTACTCATGCCACTCCAGCTGTGTATACAGGTGCAAAAAAACATTTACATCTAATCTCTTACCTGAGAAAAGTTAAGCCCATTGAGGGGGTGACACTGCTCCTCCACCCTCTCCACGGCCCCAGTCATTTTTCCCATCCCCTCAGCCTCTTGAGCCAAGAACAGGTCCAGAACCGGTGTCCCCCTGGACCGGACGTCCCACTCTGTCAGTGAGTTGACCATCAGCATCACCCACACAGGCCTTTTTCTCTCCCAGTTTCCTGCAATTGCGTTGAACAGATAGTCAGCATAAAGGCCGCGGCCTCGCTGGTCAGCGGTCATCCAGTAAGGCATCATGTGTTTGACGTAGTCCAGGTGGCGTTTGAGGCGGCGGTACAGGTCTCGAGGTAGCAGCGTCTGCAGGTTCTCGCCGTGGGGCAGCAGCTGACAGCTGGTTAGCTTAGAGATAGTCAGAGGGTCAGTCAGGTCCAGTTCAAAGAAAACATTGCGGCTGTTGTGAAAAGCCTCCTTAGTGCTGTTGGGGATGAAGTCCCAGACCCGTGTGTAAGGGACGTGGATGGTACCAAACAAGTATGATGGTGGATGAGGTGCTGGTCGTTTAACCATCCACAGGAAGGAGTTCATGTCACTTTGCTGAAAAAAGAGTAAAAATAAATACATTTTAAGACTTGAAAACTAAGGAGTTAAGGAATGAAAGAAACAAAAACACCACAACCATCATGCCGGAGCAGCGTAACTTGCCTTAAAACCAAATCCGACACATTCCTTCTCTATTGTGGTTTATTGGCTCATATGCTCGGGTCAACAAGTTAAAGACTCAAAAACCATTTTGAAATGATGGCAGCTTGGTTCAGTGCTGCAAAGTCTTTCTTCTGCGGTGCAGGCTGGGAGTTTATAGAGGGGCCTTCTGCGCTGTAAACAGACCCCTGTGTATTGTAGAGGTGCATACCTCAGTTGCCAAAGCCTCTTTCGTCCTAGGGAAGTATTTTTAATGCTGCAGTGCAAATATACTGCACTGGAGCTCATAAAAGCCCAGGACTGAAGGGAACATGCTCTGCATTCTGACCCCGCTGTGATACTTTTGTTTGTGACATTTTTTACACCAAGGATGGGGATGGTGCGCTGACAGCCCTAAGTACGGCACTGTTTTAGTCCTGGGTGGTTTGAATTACAGGAAGTGTTTGTCAATTGCGGTTATCGTCATACAAAACAATGTCACGATGGAAATGAAATAATCCCGGGCACTTTGAACGGTCGTACGGCCCTGTTGTGTTTTAAAATATGTTTTGTGTTATGCACTCTGAAAATGTGTTGAGCATGTGCACATGACTTTGATGCTGGCATTATTCAAATATGAAAAAAAGGAATTTGCTTTTATAAACAATATCAAACTGCTGGCCTGCAACACACAGTGTAATCAGGCATGTGAGGGATGAAAACCATTACTCGAAAATAAAGTTATTCTTAGAATATGTTTACTTCTAAGATTTAGTCAAGATTTCCCTCAGCTGTGTTTCAATTATAATGCACATTGCCAACATGGTCTTTGCCATATGGGACTTTTCAAACAGCTGCCAAGAACTAGTAGAAGTTCTATTATCATACATATATAGAGAGAGAAAGAGAGAGAGAGAGAGAAAAGCAATCTCTCTGCAGACTAAATAAATCTTAAGTGCTAAATTTCATTTCACTTGCTTTTACCATTTCCAGATAAGGTGAAATGTCTTAACTTGGATAATTTTCTTTGACATTTCCTAAACTTGTACATCTCCTTTAAAGGCTCCTTTTTGCATGTAGAGTTTTTGATCTCCACCTGATTAGTAAGACAGCTGTTTCTGCACACCATGAAATAGATTTTTGAATATGAAGATCCAGTATCGGGATCCCCTCTGGTGGAGCTGTCTGTCCTTTTCATGCAGAGCCCCATAGCACAGGGCTGCCCCTTTTTCTTTTTCTTTTTTAAAGGGGGAAAATTACTCTTAACACAAAACAGAGACCACTGTACTGACGCATTACAAAACACATGAAGCAAAGGAGCACGAAGCCCTCTGTGATCTCACTGAACAGATCGCTCATCCGCCTATAGACATAATGCACTAATGAAACAAAGGCCTGTGATCTCTAAACGACTCCTAATGACAACCCCAATAACATTCACACTCACATGCACGACCGCAAGTGTCTTTTCAAAGCCCTCCTGCTGCACATGTCTGTGGCCTATGTAGTGCAGTCTATGGTGTGGAGTGTAGATTGTTGCCTTTATCCGGCCATGGTTTCATGGTTTCTGTCTCTAAGGGGAATTGACCTCTGTATGTTCCCGGGGACCTGAGGTTCTGGAGGTCAGTTATAATTAAGAAACTGAACAACTTTTAACTCCTCCATTTCTCCATTATGTTCCGTGCGCGTGCTTTTAGTGCTCGTGCGTTGTGGGAATGGCTGTGTCTCGATCGCAAAAGATTTAAGATTGAATCATTTAAGGTCAGAGACATAAAGTCAAGTCAGTCGTGGGTGTTCCCCACATGCGTTCGTCACATAAACAGCCACAAAGTTGGCGAGATTTAACCGTTTTCTTGGCAAACGTCTCTATTTTCTAAGACCCGCGGATCATTTCCTAACAGTCACAGCCGCAGTGCATCTTACAGAAGGACTGCCAAAAACTGCTGAAGCAATTTTGAAAAAAAAATTATTATTGTTGTTGTTATTGTTATATTATTATTATTATTATTATTATTATTATTATTATTATTATTATGCCTATTGCTTTATTTCAGCAGATATATGTTCATTCTTAATCCTGTCAAATACGCTATTATATTAGGGAGGCCTTCGGGTTTGAAATGTGGTCAATGGTTCAATAATTCATAAATAAATTAGAACATAATCAATAAATCAAATTAATTCACAAATACTCTCTGTAGACTACACATTCTAAAAGATACCCTTACCCTCTAATATTTTTTATATATACTATTATATTATACTACAGTAGTACACACACACACACATATATACACTTTTTTATATTTATATAATATATTTACTTTTACTAGAATAAAACTGTAGTAAAAGCAAAATGAAGTTTAGTTTATTCAGCAGAACTCACCGACTGCGGTACGCGGCACTGCCTGGGTCGGTCCGGCCGCTCTGCGCCCCAGGGTGCCACGGTGTGCAGCAGCGCACTCAGGAGAACCCAGCTGAGTCCCGGCAGGTAAACCATGGTGTGGAGGTGATCGGACACTTGGGACAGTCCGGCCCCTGACCTCTGGAGATCCTTCGGTGCGATCCTTCACTCCCTTTAAAATAAAAAAAAAAAAGAGTCGTTACCGGTGGCCTGTGGGCTCACATGTGCGGTTCGACTGCAGGACCATTTCGTCCCTTCTTTATTCCTGACCCTCCGCTTCACTCCTCCAAAAGTTTTGCCGTCGTTCCAACTGTTGCCTTCCCCTTTCTGTCAGCAGAAGCTGGAAACTCTTTGGAGAGTTTCCGCGGTGCGCTCCGCAACTTTGGAGCGCCTTTGCAGGGTTAAAGGGAGGTGGGACGATCTGTGTGCGCCCCCTCCGGTCCCCCCCCCCCCCCCCCCCCCCCCCCCCCCCCCCACGCCACCGCCCCACCACCCACAC